TTTTTATCAACTGTGTACAAGAAAACTGCCATTTACCAATTTTAACTACCATTAAAGTGGTGAGAAATTGGCAATTTGGCCAATTTTATGCAAATAAAAAAGATGACAATTTCAAAATAGGGTCCAGATTTAAACCAATGCAGACATTCTTTGGCACTAAAAATAACTATCTCTGTTCAGTAATCACGTCTCCAGGCCCCTCTTATTTTACTCTTGCTTGCTATTTTGTTTTTTTATTCACACATAAAATAGGAAGTTTTTCTGTATTGCAGACTACTGAATTATTGTGGAAATGTATAGATGATATTTGTGCACTAGTTTGAAAGTATATTTTACTCCCCATTACACATGTATTGAATGAGTGGTTTGTGATTTGTTTTACTCTTGCACATGGTAAATAATCGCACATTTCCACTTAATGTGAGTCAATTTCAAGGTTTATTTTTGTCGTGAAATAATCAATAAATCACCACTATTTCTGTATTTTGCTTCACCATTCTATCAAATGAGACCACGTACCGAGGAAATACACCCATATATTATTTTAGTAAAATAACCTCAAAGTCAGCGTTTTAATCAAAAACACAGTCAAGAGTTTTCTTTTTATCAGTATGCACTGCGTGGTGCAGGATTTTTTTTTTATGATGGGTGCACAATGGACCACCAGCAGACCCATTGTCTCACATGTGGGACTACCAGCTTCTCCAGCTTGATATGCGAAGCCCACTAGAATTATTGTGTACATATAGTCCAAAACTCTGGCTCATAAAATGTTATATATTTTGGCCGGAAACTATCAATGGGTTAATCCCTTGAGTCTCTGTGTAGATATTTGTTGACTGTCTCTCGTGTAGGAATATATGTGACTGGGGGCCTGTGGCACGTGCATAGATCTATGCAATAAACAAGCAGTAACCCTCCAAATATGCTGTGAACGGCAAATGTTGGCCTAGGGAACGAGAGAGCAGATCTGCTTTGGTGGGTGTGCACAGTATATAAATAAAATAATCCTTGCCCATGTACTGCCTGGTTGGGAACGAGAGTACTAACTTATGCCCTTATGTTTGGGTTTTATATAGTGAATTAACAAAAAAAGGCAGAATACCGTGACAGGAAAACAATACACAAATAACCCTGCACATTAGAAGAGCTTACAACGACCGTTTCGGCTCGAAGGACCACTTGGACAAAGTCACAGTGACTTTGGAGTGTTTTCTAGGGTATTTTTAGAGAGGGTGTGTTAGGTACAATTGGGGTGCCAGGTGTAAATGATAATGGAGACCTCTGAGTGAACTTTGTTTAGAAAGGGGTTTAGTTATAGGTAATACATATTTTAAGAAAAGAGGATAAATAAGTATACAAGTATGATTGTAATAGTGCGTAATGACAGTAGTTTGTTGGACTATGTATGGTAGATAAAAGACTGTTGAGTTAGGACTTCAGGATGTACATGTTTTAGAGGTGCACAGATATATCAGATCCACTTTTTTAGTTGTAGCTACAGTGAGAGTAAAGGTAGATGGGGAATACAAGAAATGAAGCATCAAGTAAGAGAGAGGTTCGAAGGTTTATAAACTAAAAGAGGAGGGGAGTTAGGTAATATTACACAACTATTGGAGGATAGAATGGGCTAGTGAGAGTATAGGCACAATGGGGTAGAAGATGTATGGGGTAGGTTTAAAAATGTTGTGTTAAGTGTTCGCAGAAGTTTGTGGGTTACAGGAAAGGAGTGTGGGAGGGAAGAAGAGTGGATTGGTGGAATGATGAGATGTTATGGAGGTATAGTTAGAGAGAAAAAGTTTGCAATATGAGAGGTTTTTTAAAAGTAGAAGTGAGGCAAGGAGGGAGAGGTTTATATGGAGAGAAAAAGAGGTTAAGAGAGTTGTGAAGCATTGTAAAAAAGAGAGGCAAATGAGAGTGTGTGAGATGTGATTATCAACAAATTTTGTTGAAAAATAAGAATTAAGTTTTGGTGTGAGATTACACCAAGTTGAGGAAAGCTAGGGACAAATGGATTTGTCAGTTAAAAATGGAAAGGAGAGTTATTAAAGAGAGTTAGAGGTATAAGAGGGTAAGATGGAGGGAATATTTTGTGGAATTGTTAAATGCTGATGGAAGATAGGGAAGCTGCGATTTCATGTATAGGGCAAGAGGCCATAAATCTTGTAGTGTGCGGAAGAGCCAGTTGTGAGTGTGGGGGAAGTTTCATGAGGCAGTCGGGTGAATGAAAGGGGGTTAGGTAAGGCAGCTGGCCCGATTGATGGGGAATAAGGCAGAAATGTGAAAAGCAGGTGGGGGTTTTAAGTTTTTTGGAGTGGTTGGCACCTTATTATTTAATAAATGATATGCCCCGAAGAGGGTACGGCTACCTAGGATTGGTAGAGAGGCGTGCATAGTTCCTTTGTATAAAGGCAAAGGGGACAAAAGTGTGTGGCAATAATTTAGGGGGATAGTCTGTTGTGTTCTCCATGAGGAAGTGGAACAGAAATTCTTCCTCCGTAAGCCTTGTGTGTTGTAAAAGGGGGAGGAGGACTAAAATGCTGGGAGCAAGGGGCTAGTAACCCCCTTCTTATTGTATAAATTACTAAATTTAAAAAGAGAAACTTCGTTTTTTCTTTTTGGGCCACCCTGCCTTGGTGGGATCGGCCAGTTTGTTGAAAAAAAAAAAGTCTGTTGAGTAGACCTGGTAAAGTGTAGGGTTAGAGTTATTATTGAAAGAATTTAAGAGTAGGTGGGCGAGAGTAGGACGCAGATGGACAAAGGTGGCTTTTGGAAAGGTAAGGGGTACATAGACAAATGTTTATCAGTTGAAAAATATTAGGTGAACAGTATTTAGATAAGTGCTAAAGAGGTTTTTGTGCTTTTATGGATTTGGAAAAGGCGTATGGGACAGGGTGGATAGGGGAGCTATGTGGTATTTGATATTGCAGGTGTTGGGTATGGAGGTTGGTCACTGAAAGCAGTGAAGTGTTTTTACGAGGACTGGGAGGCTCAGGTTAGAGTATGTAGGAAAGGAGAGATTATTTCAAGTAAACTGTAGGCCTTGGACCATTGATGTGAGTGTGTTATGTCTACCATGGTTATTTATTATTATTATCACACTGGCCGATTCCCACAAGGCAGGCGTGGCCCGAAAAAGAAAAAACTTTCACACATCTTTCACGCCCATCTCGGTCTTGCCAGATAGGGTGCGTTACATACAGTTTGAAAAACTGCACATTACACCTCTTCTGAGTGGCAGGCACTGTACTTCCATCTCAGGACTCAAGGTCCGGCCGGCCGGTGTCCCTGATCCCTTCTGTTATGTGACTTTGTCACACTCAACTGCACGTCATATGTAATGAAAAATCCATTTTGGTTCCATTTCTCTCCTATCTAACACGCTTTTGCATGCCTGCTGGATGGACAAGCCCCTTGCATATATTCTCGCCTGTACCCCCTCCCTCCACCTTTCTAGGCCGACCCCTTACCCGACTTCCTTCCTCTAGGACTGATACATATCTTGAAGTCACTCTGCGTTGCGCTCCATTCTCTCTACTTGTCCAATCCACCTCAACAAACCCTTCCTCAGCCCTATGGACAACAGTTGTTTGGTAATCCGCACCGCCTCCTAACTGTCCAAACTACGAATTTCTGCATATATTCTCCAAACACATTACCCCTTTCCTGATGACCTCGCCTCTGACCTCTAGCTTCTCCTCGAGGCAACTTTTCTTCACCCATGCTTCACACCATGTAAGAGCGTTGGTTTAAAACATACTCTCTTACTATTCCCCTCTTTGCCTCCATGGACAAAGTTCTTGTCTCCACAGACTCCTAAGTGGCACCACTCACCCTTTTCCCCCTATCAAGTCTATGATTCACCATCTTGTCATAGACCCATCCGCTGACACGTCCACTCCCCAAATAATCTGAATACATTCTCCCCTCCTACTCTCTTCCTCCCAATCTGATAGTCAATCTTTCATCACCTAATCTTTTTTGTTTTCCTCATAACCTTACCTTTCCTTGTATTCACTTTTAATTTTCTTCCTTTTGCACACCCTCCAAATTCATCACCAATTTCTTGGCAACTCTCTTCAGGAATCTCCCAAGAGCACAGGTGTCATCAGCAACAAAGAGCAACTGTGACTACTCCCACTTTATGTGTGATTCTTTATCTTTTAACTCCACACCTCTTGCCAAGACCCTCGCATTTACTTCTCTTACAACCCCATCTATAAATATATTGAATAACCACAGTGAACAGTATTTAGATAAGGCTAAAGAGGTCTTTGTGGCATTTATGGATTTGGAAAAGGCCACTATTTTTAAACAGATTATTTGTTTAAACAGAGTATTAAAATGGCCAAATTACCCAATTCTGAGTGATTTATTAAGTAGTTCTGACAGGTAAATGGGAAGTTTCTTAGGATCAATGTATAGTAAGAAGGTATAGTATTGAAATAATCAGAAATTAAGTTGGTTTGAGTAATGGAATTAACCTAAAACAGGCCTCAAAATTGGGCATTATTCACTGAGGTGCAAAGTGTCCCTGATCTTCAACTTTGCATTCCATGTATATTCAGTGGAAGAGTACATCAAATTTTGCAATTTCAGTGTCATTACCTTAGATATTCTCTACCACTTAAGGAGATAAAGTTATTCTATTTTTAAAAAATGGTGTTAAGGAGCACAATGGAAAGGATTCCGTTGATGTTATACTGTAAGGATACAGAAACTGTTCGATGGCCACAGAGCACAATGCCAGGGGGGATATACTCTAACATCATGGAAAAGAGGAAGGTGAGAAAAGGAGTAGTATTAAAGAAGCTCCATTATATATTGTTAATATCCAGCAGCATGTTGAGATGGAAATATAACAGGATGAGCATACTGGTATATTTTGTGTGAGGTAGGGAATGAAGACCTTATGCATGAGTATGAGGCACTTAATTTATGTTTAAGTTATAATTTTAAACTATTTAATTTTCACTGTTTCTTAAGGATTCTGATCATACCTGAGTGAGTGAGACGATGTTTGTACATGTAAGATTCAGTAGAGAAGCTCTGGCCACATTCATCACATGTAAATCTCTGCTTCAGATGATACCTTAAGAAAAAAAGTACATTAATTTCTCTTGTATACCTAAATGCCAAATTCACTTTGATCTCACTGAATAATAAGATCAATAATAAAATTTTACAAGAGGCAATTAAATTTTCATAAATCTGAAGACAAACTAAAACATAAAAAAGAAAAAAAGAAAAGATCATCAGCTTAAAGGTATGAAGATGTTTAGGAAGAAGCCAAGTCAGACATGAGTGAAATTAGCATTAGTTTTAACTAAAATAATGAATGCACTGCACTATGGCTCTCTACACTAGGTAGGGGCTTTATGGAAAATGCACTTTCCAAAACACTTAACAATTTGTTTTTTTTTTTTTTTTGTTCAACAAACCAGACGTACTCCCACCTAGGCAGGTGGCCCAAAAGTTAAAACGAAGTTCTCTTTTGAAATTTAGTAAATTTATACGGGAGAAGGGGTGACTCGCCCTTGCTCCCGGCATTTTAGTCGCCTCTTTCAACACGCATGGCGTACGGAGGAAGATTCTGTTCCAATTCCCCATGGGAGATAAGAGGAAAATATACAACTACAAGATTTTATTATTTTATTATATCACACTGAGCCGATTCCCACCTAGGCAGGGTGGCCCGAAAAAGAAAAATTTCACCATCATTCACTCCATCACTGTCTTGCCTAGAAGGGTGCTTTACACTACGTTTTTAAACTGCAAACATGAACACCCCTCCTTCAGAGTGCAGGCACTGTACTTCCCATATCCAGTACTCAAGTCCGGCCTGCCAGTTTCCCTGTAACCCCTGCTTAAATGTTACTTTGCTCACACTCCACGCACGTCAAAGTATTAAAAAACCATTTGTCTCCATTCACTCTATCAAACACGCTCACACATGCCTGCTGGAAGTCTAAGCCCCTCGCACACCAAAACCGCCTTTACCCCCTCTCTCATACCTTTACTTGGCTGAACCCCTACACCGCCTTCTTCCACTACTGACTGTTACACTCTTGAAGTCAATTCTGTTTCGCTCCATTCTCTCTAATGTCCGAACCACCTCAACAACCCTTCCTCTGCCCTTGGACAACATGTTTTGGTATAATCCCGCACCTCCTCCGAACTCCAAACTCGAATTCTTCTTGGCATGATATTCACCACCCTACACATTGCTCTCAGGACATGACCTCTCCACTGCCTCAGCCTTTCCTCGCTTGCAACATTCATCACCCATGCTTCACACCATGTAAGAGCGTGGGTAAAACTATACTCTCATTCATTCCTCTTTGCCTCCAAGGACAAAGTCTTTGTCTCCACAGACTCCCAAGTGCACCATCACTCTTTTCCCCTCATCAATTCTATGATTCATCCTAATCTGTCATAGACCATCGCTGACACGTCCACTCCAAATATCTGAATTATTCACCTCCTCCCAGTACTTCTCTCCTCCCATCCTGATATTCAAATCTTTCATCACCTAATCTAGTTGTTATCCTCATAACCTTACTCTTTCCGGTTTTCACTTTAATTTTCTTCCTTTGCAACCCACCAAATTCATCCCCAATCTCTGCAACTTCTTTCAGAAATCTCCCTAGAGCACAGGGTCATCAGCAAAAGAGCAGCTGTGACAACTCCCACTTTGTGTGTGATTCCTTTATCTTTTAACTCCACGCCTCTTGCCAAGACCCTCTCATTTACTTCTCTTACAACCCCATCTCTAAATATATTAAACAACCACGGTGTCATCAACATCATTGCTATAAGGCCTACTTTTACTGGGAAAAATAATTTCCCTCTTTCCTACATACTCTAACTTGGAGCTCATATCCTCGTAATTAGAAAGAAAATAGAAGAAAACCCAGAGGGATGTGTATATATACATATATATGCTTGTACATGCATGTGTAGTGTGACCTAAGTGTATGTTAGAAAGTGCAAGAGTACCTGATAATCTTGATGTTTATGAGACGAAAAAAGGGGACACCAGTCAATTCCTACCATCATGTAAACAATTTCAGGCTGTCAAGTTTACACCACTTGGCAGGATGGTAGTACCTCCCTGGGCGGTTGCTGTCTACCAACCTACTACCTACTATTGTTTAAATAAGTATACACAAATAACTCGCACGTAGGAGAAAGAAACCTATGCTTTATAATGTGTGTGCATCATTACCACTATGATTTTACTGAAGGTCATTCACAATAGCTTCAATTACTCATGGGTTTATCTTGGTATCTATTTTTATTTTTATTTTTGGTTAGCACAAGATCCCTAAATTGAAAAATAACCCAAAAAATGTCATTAAAAGTGTGCTTTCTTGTTTTCTTAGCAATAATAATATTAAGCAGGTTAGAGCAACATTTAAAGACATAGCTTAAATAAATTTCAATCACTCGTAAATGTAAAAAGTTTCTATTACAGTATACAGTAGAACCCCTGTATCCAATGATTCGGTATCCGCATTTTCAGTTATCAATGGTTTACTGTGGCCCAAAAATACCTCTTAATTTTGCATAATACTGGCCCCAAAGCACAAAAGTAGAGAAGCTGGGGGTTCTTCAAAGCCTAAGAGAAGCCATAAAATGCTTCCCATCAGTGAAAAGGTGATAATTCTCAACTTAGTGTGCATAATTTATCAATTAAACTTTATAATAGGTATGTAAAGGACTTACATATAGGGTTTGCTACTATCCCCAGTTTCGATATCCATGGCAGGCCCTTGGAACGTGTCCCTGCAGATATGGTGGTTCTATTGTACTATACACATTATCATAATTCATGACACCTCCAGGAGTCTAACCCCAGTGAATTTGTTTTTAATGTCTGCCATTTCTTAGTAAGGTAGGGAGACCCAAAGAGGAAAAATAAATTCATTATCATTCACTCCCTTGCTAATTTCACAAATGCTCATGAACTTCATGATTCAATGACCCACAGACACTCAACATTCCCACCCATCTGTACTTTACTTTTTTCTTCTTAACATAAATATACATATGAATAATAGAAAAATAAATAGCATACTGTGGAGTTCAGTTCCTTACCTATAATGTGACCTCATAAGTCCAATAGTTGAAAAGACTTTATCACAACCACTTTGTATGCAAGGTATTGTCTTGGGTTTGTGTACTGATATCAAATGGAGGCGAAGAGTATGGCGGTCTGGAAAAGGGTGAAATATAATTAATAACTAATAATGTAAATATTGCTTCTCTTCTACCAGTGTTCATATTTTTTTTTAACTTATCAGGAAATTTTCATCCTAGCTTTGGCTAGGGTTAACTGAGTTGCCAGGTGAATTAACCAAAGAACAAAGTTCCCTTGTGACAGGACAAGCACTAATGAATTTTTATTTAATGCATGAAAAATTACACAGGGAAAGATCAAAGCATATGAAACTTTCTCTGGAAGAAATATCTAATAAGACAGCCAAGAAGAATGTGTCATAGCAGCAGGCCTGAAAATCCTGTGGCTTCAACCTCAAGTACACTAAATGTCCTTACTGTAACATCACAAATCCATGATTAAACAGTCAAATATGAAACAGACAGTAATCCTGACAACTCTCAACTTTCAGACCTTAGTGATTAACTCTTCAGTTACAGTAAAATTCTAAAATTTACCACTTTGGAAGTGGAAGAACTGCAACATTCTTTGTAATTAGAGCAAATAATAAACTTGTTTCATTTATACTAATGTTTAATTTAAGTTACTAGCAGTCCAGGGTGAGTCTGAGGTGTATTGTTAAATTGTTATTATGTGACTTGTTTATCTGGCAAAGTCGATATTCCGGTAAGGCCTAGGAACCGAGGGTGCCAGAAAATCGTTGTTGTACCTGTAATTAATCAAGGATAAGAGTAAAACATCAGTATTTGTACACTGTAGGTACCTCCAAATGATTTGAAGCAGAGTTCACAAAGGTATTTGATCTCTGATGCAGCCCTGTGTATCCTCTTGATGTGGTCCATGTAAGAGGCCCGTACTGTGAAGGACATGCCACACACACAAATGAAGTTTGGTGTATCAGAGTGTACTGCTTTGTGGGCTTTTAAAGCACTGAAATATAATTATATAGTATAGTGAAGAGGAAATTCTAAAGTACAATATATCAACACAGAGTACCTGTATTAAACAATGATACAGTACTAAGGTGTACAGCATTGCAGTACCTCATTATATTTGCATATGAACATATGCAATATAATGAGGTCTATCTGCAGAAGACATTGAAGCAAGGACAGTACTACAGTCTAAAATGCACCAAGAGAAACACATCTGATAAAAGGATGTGAAAGGGGGATGGGGCTGGAGGATCCTTCACAAGCCATAGGATTCTTGTCCCTCCAGTGGAGATACTGAAGATGGTGGCAGTCAAGTAATTATAGGTAAATGTACATTACAAATATTCTAGCAATATTACAAAACAAATTATAGGAAAACAATGCACTATAATGACATCACTTTGAAATACAATGGAGGAAAAACTATTGCTAAACATAGAATTGGGGCAGTGACATGTTGTGAAAACATGCTAAGGTAAGTAACTGGCATTGTTAACATTTTTAATAAAGCTGAAGTATAAATATTAATAAATATTTGTTTTATTGATTCATTCAACAAATAAAATTACAGGTACATATTAACATAAAATAGTATTTAACTTGCCACTGTAAACATAGTTCAAGACTCACAGCTACAATTCCTTAGGTTTTCAAAAATATAGAAGTAAATAATGTACACTAATTCATGTTTGGTAATCTGAATCATTGTGTATGCATTAACATACGAGGTGTTGTGTGACCAAAAAGAATATGTGCCAAGTTCAAACAGCAGGGGAAAAAACATAAACATGGAGTAGATCAGAGCTATGAAACTTATAATATGTACTTTGTTAAGGTAACTTGACAAATTTGGGACCCAAAGTATAAATTCCTCTCCTGAAGTGTGATGGCTGGAATTCTTTACAACTGTGTGATACAGTATACATAACAAAAGTGATTACTTCTAGTTACAAGCAAAATTAATCTCAAGAAGACAATACTACACATTTCCACAAACAGATAAAACATTAAGAAATCGATACTTTTATTAACCCAGACTTTAGTCGTGATGGCACTTATTCTTTTCTGCCATGCAATGCCTCATACATTAGTTCATTTACAAGAAACATTAATTTAAAATTATCTATCAATTATATATATGTGTGTATCTAGAAACAAGGAAGACAGAAAATTAAAATTTAATACTGGTCATAAACTAACATTTTTTTTTTTTCAACGATTCGGCCATCTCCCACTGAGGCAGGGTGACCCAAAAAGAAAGAAAATCCCCAAAAAGAAAATACTTTCATCATCATTCAACACTTTCACTTCACTCATACATAATCACTGTCACACATAACCACTGTTCATACATACACTGCTACTCAAACTGCCAAACACAAGTTACACAAAGAACACTTCTATTTTTTTTTTTTTTTTGAGAGAGAGCCCTAAGGATCTGTAGCCCTAAACTTTATGATGGGGAAACTTGAAAAATCTATGAGACTGTATCCAGCCTACAATTTCCATGAATGTTTATTGACAAAGCTTCTCATAAAGCTAAAAAAAAAAAAAAAAAAAAAAAAAAAAAAAAAAAAAAAAAAAAAAAAAAAAAAAAAAAAATCTGTAGGACTGAACCTTGCACACTACCATATAATCCTGAGAACTAGTTAGTTTTACCATATAATGATAATGTCTCACAGCTCCCACAAGATCTTGAATACTTTAATGTAGAAGTTGGTTAACAAAATATATTGAAAGAAAAAGTTGATTAAAAAATTTCCCAAAGTACCTTTGGGTTGTGTATACTCTGTTCCTTATAAAAGCTGTGACAGCTTTTATCTTGGACAACTTGGGAAGTTACTCAAAATCAACTTAGAAGGATTTCCTGGTTTGTGAGTCTTGATTACCCTGTCTAGCTATTGTAATATGGCAAGCCTAGCTGATAGTTGTTTGATTATATTATTGATTTCTTTCCATTTCTGTTTGTTTTCATTAAGATTGAAGTTCACTAATACCTTAGGATTTCTTTTTAAATATACGTTCTCTTTATTTTTTACATGTCAGCTGTCTCCTACCAAGGCAGGGTGACCCAAAAATGAAACTTTCATCATCATTCAACACTTTCACCATCATTCACACATAATCACTGACTTTCCAGAGGCACCCAGATATGGCAGTTTAGAGTCACTCCAAACAGCCAATATCCCAGACCCCTCCTTTAAAGCGTAGGCACTGTATTTCCCACTTCCAGGACTCAAGTCTAGCTAACCAGTTTCCCTGAATCTCTTCATAAAATATTATCCTGCTCACACTCCAACAGCTCATCAGGTCCCAAAAAACATTTGTTTCCATTCACTACTATCTAACATGCTCACACATGCCTGCTGCATGTCCAAGCTCCTTACACACAAAACCTCTTTTACTCCCTCCCTCCCTCCATCCTTTTCCTAGGATGACCCCTACCCATCCTCCCCCCCCACTACAGATTTATACACCTTCCAAGTCATCTTATTTTGCTCCATCCTTTCTAAATGACTAAACCACCTCAAGAACCCCTCTTCAGCCCTCTGAATAATACTTTTAGCAACTCCACACCTCATCCTTTCCACATTTTGAAGTCTTTCTTCTTTCAACACACCGGCCGTATCCCACCGAGGCGGGGTGGCCCAAAAGGAAAAACGAAAGTTTCTCCTTTTACATTTAGTAATATATACAGGAGAAGGGGTTACTAGCCCCTTGCTCCCGGCATTTTAGTAGCCTCTTACAACACGCATGGCTTACGGAGGAAGAATTCTGTTCCACTTCCCCATGGAGGTAAGAGGAAATAAACAAGAACAAGAACTAGAAAAAAATAGAAGAAAACCCAAAGGGGTGTGTATATATATGCTTGTACATGTATGTGTAGTGTGACCTAAGTGTAAGTAGAAGTAGCAAGACGTACCTGAAATCTTGCATGTGTATGAGACAGAAAAAAAAAGACACCAGCAATCCTACCATCGTGTAAAACAATTACAGGCTTCAGTTTTACACTCACTTGGCAGGACGGTAGTACCTCCCTGGGCGGTTGCTGTCTACCAACCTACTACCTACTACATTTTGAAGTCTCTGCATAATATTTACACCACACATTACTGCCCTTAGACATGCCATCTCCACCGCCTCCGGTCTCCTTCTCATTGCAGCATTTACAACCCATGTTTCACACCCATATAAGAGTTTTGGTACTGCTATACTCTCATACATTCCCTTCTTTGCCTCCAGGGATAACATGTTTTTTTGTCTCCACAGATACTTCAATGCCCCACTCACCTTTTTTCCTTCATCAATTCTATGGTTAACCTCATCCTTCATAAACCCATCTACACACAAATATACTTCCAAATATCTGAACACATTCACTTCTTCCATACTCCCTCCTTCCAATGTCATGGTCAATTTTTCTTTGCCTAACTCACTTGATATCCTCATCACCTTACTCTTATCTATGTTCACTTTCAACTTTCTCCTAACACTCTTTACACTCATTTACAATCATTACTTTCCTGATATATAATTTGTTAAAATGAAAGTGGCACTGATTTCAGACTTGTAAACAAATCTCATCTTTAGTTCATGATAACAATTATGACAATTCATGTTCAAAGATAAGCCTTAAGTTCATCACCCCCAGTGGTTCATTTGATCCTATTGTCCATTTACATACTTCATCACATTGATTACATGTAATGACCCCAGCTTATCATCACCCAAAGCTACCATTAGGTAAGTGTATTAGTAGTGCGTTGTACGTTATGTTTGGGTCTAATTGGACATCTACCTTCACAATTTCCTTATGGCAAAAATTCGGTCAGTTGTACTGCACCTGAACATACTTCTGGAGTGAAAAAAGTTCGTTAACCGGGGGTCCACTGTACAGTTTATATGTACAATATCCCCAGATCTTTAAACATTTTTCATATAATTCTTGATCTTGCACCCCTTATGATGTTCTATATTTTCACCATTCCATCCTCCAGCATCCACTTCAAATGGCTAAACCAGACAATGCAGTTTTTTTTCAATTAATCTCAATAGAAACCTCCTCACCTCACTACACAGCCATGTCAGATCTTCATTCTTAGGTTTATTTATACACCAGTATGTCTTAAGACTATTTTGTGAGCTGTTGTAACGTTCACATTTGTTCAGTACAACTAAGCAAATACTTCCGAGGTAAGACTTTGCACTTACAATTTGAAAATGAAGGTTTTACCACAGACGCTGCAGAAGTTGGTTCGTTCCTTAATGTGCTTTGCAAGAATGTGTCGTCTCCTGCTCTCTCGGGTGGCCAGTCTCAAGCCACATAGCTCACATATGAATGGTTTTTCTGTCAGATGGATATGTTAGCTGCTTTCTATTACAATGCCAAGATGCAAAGCATAAACTGAATAAATTATTAAAATAAAAAATGTAAAGTCATATCCTTATGAAGCTAAATTTTTCTCATAAAATGTGCTCTAGTGCCAAAGACCTGGCCCTGAATTATCAACTTTACCTCAACAATTATAACTTAACTAAATTTTACCAGGATTTACTTATTTTTATATGTAATCATTCATGAGGAGAGCACAAGATTTCCTCTTATTCAACATTAGTTACAAAAAAATTTTTTTTTATAAAATTTCATGTATAATAAACATTTATCTTTAGAGTCCTAAAGAAAGAGCTTACACTATGCTACTGAAAAAAGAAGTGACCTTGATGGCAAAGAGTAGAGCTATATTCCAGAAGCTGTGTGATATTTCATAATTACTAAAACTCGTAAGTAAATATTATCAACATTGTGGTTTACAAAGTACCTTTGACTGCAGGAAAAGATTCATAAGTAACAAACTTGGGTTTGGTAACTCCTCTGGTTGATCTTGTTTGAGGTAAAGTTCTCAGTGTAGTATCACCAGAGTCATTCCTTATGAATAAACGAATATACAAGAAACTTAGTATCAAGCAAAACTACAACAAGATAATTCTAAACAAATATAGTTTCTGTCATATACTAAATAGACATTAAAAGCTGAACTTACATACTAAAACAATTCTTAAAAAAATATAGTGTACAAGTGAATAAATATTAATATATACATACTATCTTTTAGAGGTTAGCTAAATACAGTATGGTACTTCCTTCATATTTGCAGGAAATACATTCCTAGAGGTCACAACAAAGCCAGAAATTGTACATACTATACTCGAAATACTAGCTATATAATTGCAAATTATTTGTTTATGGATTTGCCTAATTACTTTCTGAAAAGAATCCAGTCTGTACTTAATCATGCAGCTAGGCTGACATTTTTGCTTCCACTTGTCCCCAGTTGTATGAGCTGCAGTGACTGCAATGGGAAGGAAAAGAGGGAAGATCCAACATGATACATCCGAATTTTCCAAGGCAGAATTGAGAAATAAGTAAAGAAAGATGATCAGTGAAATGAAGAACAGTAAGGAAATACAAAGATGGTTAGATTACAAAGACTACAATAGGGAGAGATGGCAATGAAAATTCTTTTACTTCTAGTATCTGTGAGAATTCAGTAATGTATAGGGTCATGAAGATCATAGAAATGAATATAATAACAAAGAAAGTGAGTACTGCAGCAATCTAGTACAGAGGGGAACACTAGACTTCACATAGAGATTTTCAAAGGAAAGATCCATAAACAAAACCACAAATCCTGATTATGAGCAGCATCCAGCTTAACCCTCATAAATATGAAGGGTTTATTGTACTCCATACAATTACATACAATTTAAGAACAGAAAATAAAATAATTCTGCTCTCCAATTGTGTAAATTCTTAATTTTTTTTTATGATTCCTTACCTGTCCATGTTTGCTACAGGCTCAGGATCATCAGGATTCTCCAATTCATCACCCCTATTTGTTTAAATAAACTTCCTCCACCTCCGTCACCAGCATCATGTGTACGGGATTTAGACAAACTGACCTCATCTTTTTCTTTTGTTAAAGACCAGTAACTTGGTGACAATGAGTTGGGGCTCTCATCCCCAACTAAATAATCTTCCAAATAAATCACATCTTCTCTTTCCAAAGTTCCCATGCAGCTGATTAAGTAGTCGATATTGTCGAGATTCTAAAATGCAAACAAACTTCATTTTATTATATGATGGAGTAGATGTTAAACATATTATATTTCAATATATTAACATATCAGTTACTGCAGTTCATTTACAGGCATTGTACATTACTACTAATTGAGAATACAGCGGAACCTCAGTTTTCGTAAGCCCCAGTTTTCGTAGGATTCGGTTTTCAATGACTTTTTCCATCAAAATTTTGTCCCAGTTCTCGTACATCACCTCAGTTTTCATAGAGTTGAAAATGGTCTGTACCAAACACAGCCACCTGCCCACCCAAGTGACTCAGTCTGCCTTTGTTTATCGTTGAGTGAGCATCACCTCATGCATTCATCCAAAACATTTCGTAATAATTCATTGTTTTTTATGCTTGTTTGTTGAGTGCGACTGCTAATAAGCCACCATGGGGCCAAAGAAAGTTCCGAGTGCGAGCCCTTTGATAAAGAAGGTGAGAAACACAATAGAATTAAAAAAAAAAGTCGTAGGAAATTGCTTCAGAGGAGGAGGAAAAGAGAGGGGAGAATGTGCCTTCTTCAGTGATTAAGGACATGTGTGCAAAGTGGAGTGAGTTGCAAAGTTTTGTGGAGAAATATCACCCTAACAAAGCTGTTGCAAGCTGTGTCTGCAACATGTTCAATGACAATGCCTTGTCTCATTTTAGGCAAATCTTAAAGAGATGCCAGAAACAGATCTCTCTGGACAGATTTTTTGTGCAACAGGGGTATAGTGACTCAAGCTTTTCCTAGTGCCAGTAAAAGACAAAGAAGGGAAGTAACCCCAGATAGGGCCTAGATACCTGAAGTCCTTATGGAAGGGGTTTTCCCTTCCAAACAATAACCTTTCCTCCTCCCTCTTCCCTCCTCGCTCGCCGTCATCCATATGCCAACAAGTCTTCAATAAAGGTAAAAGTGATGTTAAATGTTCATTTATCCATTTCATTAGTCATTTATATTTATTTCTCATTGTTTTCTGTATGTAAAACTATAGTTACTCTCTATAAAATGTATTTTTTGTTAATATTTTTGGGTGTGTGGAATGGATTAATTGGATTTACATTATTTCTTATGGGAAATATTGCTTCGGTTTTCATACAATTCGACTTTCGTCAGACTTTCTGGAACAAATTAATCATTAAAACCCAGGTTCCACTGTATATAGTAAGCCTATACAATTAATGTATTTCAATCAATTGACATTTATGTTATGTCAGTACTGTATACCTCATTCCATTCCTCACTGGTGCTCATACTGCTGATGAGAGTTAATCACCTGAAAGCAAGAGTAACAAAGTTACCAAAAATGAAGTGTTACTGGCTGACACATAACAATGGGCATTTCACTACTATAAAAATAAGAAAAAATAATGCAACTTTGTATGAAAGTACAGTATGTATTATAATTTATTGTGCAAACTTTTTTTTATTATTAACAAATTGGCTGATTCCCACCAAGGCAGGGTGGCCTGAAAAAGAAAAACTTTCATCATCATCCATTCCATCACTGTCTTGCCAGAGGCATGCTTACACTAGTTATAAAACTGCAACATTAACACCCCTCCTTCAGAGTGCAGGCACTGTACTTCCCATCTCCAGGACTCAAGTCCGGTCTGCAGGTTTCCCTGAATCCCTTTGTAAATGTTACCTTGCTCACACTCCAACAGCATGTCAAGTCCTAAAAACCATTTATCTCCATTCACTCCTATCTAACATGCTCACGCATGCTTGCTGGAAGTCCAAGCCCCTTGCACACAAAACCTTCTTTACCCCCTCCCTCCAACCTTTCCTAGGCTGACCCCTACCCTGCCTATCCTCCACTACAGATATACACACTCTTGAAGTCATTCTATTTTGTTACATCCTCTCTACATGTCCAAACCACCTCAGTAACTCCTCCTCAGCCCTCTGGATAATAGTTTTGGTAATCCTGCGCCTTCTCCTAATCTCCAAACTATGGATTCTCTGCATTATATTCACACCAGACATTGCCCTCAGACATGATATCTCCACTTCCTCCAGCCTTCTCCTTGCTGCATCATTCACCACCCATGCTTCATACTCATACAAGAGCATTGGTATAACTATACTCTCATACATTCATCTCTTTGATTTCATGGATAAATTTCCTTGTCTCCACAATCTTTAAGAATAAATAAGCAGCAGATAGCACAAGCCAAGCTAAACAAAATACTGTAGCAACTTCAGAATATGTATGCCATACACTATTTAGATACCTTTATAAATGCAGGGTCTATTAGTCAAAAAACAAAGCAGTCTGAATGAAGCAGCAAGATACAGAACTTGACAAGTCTTAGGTGTGGAGGAAGGCAAAACATTAACCCCAGGAAATAAAAGTACAAAAAATAGGAGGTAAGGATGGTAATGAATCAAACAATGAGAAACAAAGTAAAAGATGAGTGGACAAAAATGTACAGAACTTACAAAAGTGTTTTGCAGATTAACAGCAGAATATCTCAAGACAGAAGTAGAAGACTAACCAAGTCAGCTCCAGTTAGTGAAAGGTGCAGTGAACTACATTTGCACTGGGACACAACAAAGGATTACTAATAGGTGTAGACTTGGAGTATACCTGGAGGGTGTTTCAGGGGTCAACATCCCCACATTCTGATCCATGACCAGGCCTCGCAGTGGATCAGGGCCTGATCAACCAGGCTTTTCCTGCTGGCTGCATGCAAACCAGCATACAAACCACATCCAGCTGGGCAGGAACAGACTTTAGGTACCTGTCCAGCTCCCTCTTGAAGACAGCCAGGGGTCTATTGGTAATCCCTCTTATATGAAGGTAGATACATAAGAAAAATTCAAAACAGGAGTACTATACTGTATTAGGAGACTAGTGGGAAGACCCATTTGGAGGTTCAGTAGCTGTTTGATTCATGTTAAATTTCGAAGTGAGGCAGAAGAAGCTATAATTAATAAACCAGTATGAAGGGTTTGGACAGCAGGTGAACTAAGAAAATGGGTTCTGAGTTTTATTCCTAGGTGGCTCACCCAGGAACAGAACTTGGACCCTTTTGGCATCATCTTAATAACTTACCATTTCAGAATGAACCAAATTATTTGGAAAATGCTGCTTGATTACCAAGTCAACACAGCAAAGTAACACTATTGTATTAACTTCCTAACCTTTAATATATATACAGTACATATAAAAGATTCAGTGCAGTGGTCAAAGGAAGTTGTATGGCCTTGTTTAGAGTTGTGTGACTTCCTCAGGGAATCATAAGTGAAGACATTCAGATGCATTCCAAGGAAGAACAGCACAGGTCCAATTCCTTAGATCAAGAGCCTCTCATTAGTATCAAGAAACCTCCCTGAAGGGGGCAGGTGAGAAGAGCTGCTGGCCACGCACAAGACAACTAGTGATCTAATTAGGTCAAAGGAAGAAATCCCGATCATATGTTGCATTTTGCCTACAGGAGTACTGGGTTACTGTTAGGAACTTGAAATTCCATTCACTGACAACTGGGATGGGGTGCATCTTTATGGGGCAGGGGTGAAAGTGTTGGCCAATTCAGTCAAAGGAACTGCAGCTAAATTGTGTAAAACTTTAAAATGATACAAGACAGAGAGAGGGTGGGTGGGTGGGTGGGTGGGTGGGGTGTGTGTGTGTGTGTGTGTGTGTGTGTGTGTGTGTGTGTGTGTGTGTGTGTGTGTGTGTGTGTGTGTGTACTCACCTATTTGTACTCACCTATTTGTACTCACCTATTTGTGTTGTGTGTGTGTGTGTGTGTGTGTGTGTGTGTGTGTGTGTGTGTGTGTGTGTGTGTGTGTGTGTGTGTGTGTGTGTGTGTGTGTGTGTGTGTGTGTGTGTGTGTGTGTGTGTGTGGTGTGTGTGTGTGTGTGTGTGGTGTGTGTGTGTGTGTGTGTGTGTGTGTGTGTGTGAGAAACAAATGGATTGTAGTACTAGGGACAGTGGGAACAAAAACTGCTAAGATATGTTAGGAAAACATTCAAAACACAGGATAGCTCATAGTTTCTGATAAAGACAATAAAATAAATGCACTAAGACTATCTGCATGCACTAGAAACACTTGAGGCATGGCTGACCAATAAGTAACATAGTGTACATAAATGGGACCTGGTTGGCAATCCCCGGCTGGGTGGAAACATTGAATGTGATTCCTTACACCTGCTGTCCCCGTACACCTAGCAAGAAAGTAGGTACCTGGGTTTTAGTTGACTGGTGTGGATCGCATCCTGGGGCACAAGACTGAAGGTCCACAATGGAAATAAAACAAGACAGTCCTCGATGGCACACTGACTTTCTTGGGTTATCCTGGATGACTAACCCTCCTGGTTAAAAATCCAAGCATCAGTTTTGGATCCCTGGTTGCTCACAATGTACATAAACAGCATAAATTAGGAAATGAATAACAACTATGGTACGTGTCATTACAATTTCTTCCGTCATGAATAACTACGTTAGTAAGTGTGCCAATGATACTAAAATAGTCCATTACATAATTTCTGATGAGGACACTAAATAGCTACAGGATGGTTTAGATAAGTTGATATTGTGGTCAAAGTGGTAGATGCAGTTCACAGTGGACAGCTGTAAGGTTCTAAACCTATGAATAGAAAATAACTGATACTTATAAGCTAAATAATGTAAATCTTAATCAAACTGATTGCAAAGAAGTTTTAAGAATTCTGGTTAGCAGAAATTTAAAGCCAAGACAACAGTGCATAATGTTTGTAATAAAGCTGATAGGAGTCTTGTCATCACATTAAGAAGCATAAAAAATATTAGTCCTAAGGTTATACTTTTATATATCTTAGGGCAGCGTCATTAAAGCGAAAACTTATGGTAGCTTTAAATATAGGTTGAAAGGGTACGTGAGTGGGTTTTGTGGATGTGAATTGGACCTACTTATCATGGGTCAGTAGACCTACTGCAGTGCTCCTTCATATGTTCTTGGAAAAATAAACACAAATGCAGTATAATGCAATCCTTTATTGACAATGCTTCACCCACACAGGGGGCTTTATCAAGTCACAAACTGATTTACCTCAGTGATTGTGATTTGATAAAGCCCACTGTGTGGGAGAAATGTTGTCAATAAAGGCTCGCATTATACAGCCTCTCCTCACTTAACAATGGAGATAGGGACCTAAGACCCTGTCGGTAAACAAATTCGTAGTGGTAGTGGATTTGTGTCAACCATCTTTGATATTGTTTTAATGTCACTCTTGCACCATTTATAACATTTCTGGTATATTTTTAAATGTTTATACAGCAGTGTACTGCATATTGTAATAAACAGAATTGAGGAAATCAGCTCCAATATACATTATTTAGGTATAAATACTTGTCAGAGAGCCCGATCGTAAGTCCGAGGCGTCGGTAAACGAGTACGTCGCTGAGTGAGGAGAGGCTGTACTGCATTTGTGCATATTTATCAATTGTGTTGGTATTTTATACCATTTATCTCCTTCATATATATTCTTGTTTCCAATGAGATCTCTGAGTTATGTATAACTGCTGAAGGACCAATGTTTTGACATCTTATTTAAAATGCCAAGCAGGTAATAAGGAACATGCCAAAATACCTGTACACAGATTCTGCCACCACCTTCTTCAGGATACATGCAGGTTGCTTAGTGGTTCCTTCTCCTTCTGATAAATACAATTTTTCACACCATGTCCAGGGTGAAGGAAAACATCTACTTGTTGTTGTTGGCGTTGTTAAGAGACCCTGAAACTTGCACCTTATTGAGTCCTGCTTCCCAGGAGTCCTTTAAAAATAAAAATATGTTTATTATAAAATATGTTTATAATAACAATAACAATAATAATAATATTAACAACAACAACAATAATAATACTAATAATATTATGATATGTAGAGCATTTCGGGCAAATAAGGTTAATTTTGTCCCCACGATGTGACCCACACCAGTTGACTAGCACCCAGGAACCTATTTTACTGCTAGGTGAATAGGGACAGCAGGTATCTTAAGGAAACATGTCCTAATGTTTCCACATGTACCAGAGATCGACCCCTGGACCTCAATGTGTAAGCTGAGTGAGCTAGCAATCAAGCTACGAGACACAAATCTGGGTGGGAATTATAAAGGAATCAAAGTTTCCTCCAGAAAGAGAAATGGGAACAACAAATTTTCAAAGTCACGGACATAATAGGAAGGCTGTATATTGTATAACTATATACAAAAGATGAGGTAACCAGATTTTGTATATAGTTCTACTGCCCTCATATTATGTTCTTGAATAAGAACATAACATAATATTGATAAAGTCACTGGATGGTGTAATGTCTACAAAGAAAAAACATAAGAATGGAGGAACACTGCAAAAAGCCTACTGGCCCATACAAGGCAGGTCCTTATCAAAACCACCACTACCCAAGAATTTACTCTCATATGTTGCATAATCAGTTCTCAATTAAGTCAGATGAACCCCTTCTCCTTAACCCTGTCTAACTTTTTTTGGATGTAATCCTTGGTAATCCACACATACACTGTTATGTATAATAATTTATGTAAGTGTATTTATGTGTACCTGTACCTGAATAAACTTACTTACTTGCCCATATATACACAAAACCTCAAACCTGAGTCAACAGCAACAGGTTTTTCCTTTGCCTAGAATGAGGTGATGCAGGCTGCCCGAACCAACTGTCCAGCAGAGGGCAAAGTATGGTGGGCACAAACATCCCAGGAGAAATTCGACACTGATGTTCAAGGCAGGAGCTAGGGGAGAGCTTCACACGTGTCCTTTTAAACCATTTTCACATTCCACCAACCTGGGAGCAGAAACCGCACCACCCCAATGGAAACAAGTCACTCTGTCCGACTTTTTTGGGGGTTATCCTAGGTTCTGTACACATATTCTGCTATGTATGATAATCTGTGTAACTGTATTTGTGTATACCTGCATAAACTTACTTATTTACTAAGTTTCTGCGTTGTTGGGGGTTTCACAGAGACACTGACAATTGGCGTTGTATTGTACCTTGATCCCAAGTGTCCGAGGAAGAAATGCCAAAGGGCCATATAGAATAAAAAGACAAAATACAGTGACTGGAACAACACACAAATAACCCACACACATAGGAGAATGGAACTTATGATGACGTTTCAGTCCAACTTGAACCATTATGGTGCCCCGTGGCCTGGTATACCTGGAGAAAATTCCGGGGGTCAACACCCCCGTGGCCTGGTCTGTGACCAGGCCTCATGGTGGATCAGGGCCTGATCAACCAGGCTGTTACTGCTGGCTGCACATAATCCAATGTATGAACCACAGCCCGGCTGGTCAAGTACTGACTTTAGGTGCCTGTCCAGTGCCTGCTTAAAGACAGCCAGGGGTCTATTGGTAATTCCCCTGATGTAGGTTGGGAGGCAGTTGAACAGTCTTGACCCCCTGACACTTATTGTGTTGTCTCTTATCGTGCTAGTTACACACCTGCTTTGGCTTATATCCCTATGTCTCATACAAGGACGAGGAACAAGATGGGGGGGCTAGTACTGTGCCTTGTGGAACAGAGCTTTTCACTGTAGCCGCCTCAGACTTTATTCCGTTGACTACTACTCTTTGTGTTCTATTTGTTAGGAAATTATAGAGCCATCCACCGACTTTTCCTGTTATTCCTTTATCACACATTTTGTGCACTATTACATCATGGTCACATCTGTCAAAGGCTTTTGCAAGGCTGTGTATATTACATCTGCATTTTGTTTGTCTTCTAGAGCATCCAGGACCTTGTCATAATGGTCCAGTAGTTTGGACAGACAAGAGTGACCTGGCAAAAGCTTTTGCTTCACATGGCGAGGGTCCGGGTTCGATTCCTGGCAAAGGGTTAGAAGCATTGGACATTATCCTTAACACCGGTTGTCTATGTTCCCCATCAGTAAAATAGGTACCTGGGTGTTAGTTGACTGGTGTGGGTTGCATCCTGGGACAAACTGACCTAATTTGTCCGATATGCACTGTTTTCTATATAGTAGTATGTCATTAATGTTAGTTATGGTCTTTATACCTTGTACATATACTTGTAGGAAATAAAGATATTATTACACACATTATTATTATACTAGTTAATAATCCAAGTCTGACCGAAACGTTGTTATAGATTTTGTTCTCCTCCGTGCGGGTTATTTTTATCTTGAAGGACACAGATGCTGAACTATTATATTACTATCAGTACTTATGTGTAGCTGTACCTAAATAAACTTACTAATATGACGTACCAGAGACTGACCACAAGCTTTGTTTATATTATATTTTGTCAGTAACGAGCCTATTATAACATTTTCGTTTATATTGTTCAGTAATGAATTTGAGTCATATTTAAGTGCTTAAAATTACTTATTTGATCAGGGTAAGAATATACAAAAGCCAAAAAATTACTTAAACTTTACTGCAGTTAAAAAAGATTACTAAATAATAATTTTGTATCCGTTAGTATACTTATATTGCTAGATTGCATATAATATAAAAACATATATATTGAAAATATATTGTTTATAAAAAATAGAGCATTTTCTTATAGCATTTAGTTCTATAAATCAGTTGGGAAATAACCGTGTAAGAGCTTTCAGTTGTAACTAATATAAAATTTTCTTAAAACTCATAAAAAATAATACGTAATAAACCACAGTTTTTAGCTACAGACTAAACAAGAAATAATTTATAAATACACTTCTATAACAAAATTTGTGTTAGTTAATGTTGGACCAGTAGTGAGGGAGGTAGCTTCCCTGGACGCTGTCTTACTCTGGGGGACAATACTACCAATATTAACCCAACACGATGGTAATATAACTTTATTACTCAGGATAAAGTATATTGATTGTCATATAACGTATATAAACCCAGTGGAAATAAGTCACTTTGTTTAATGGTTGGGTTATCCTATGATCATTTATTTACCCTTTCCTCCCAGACGCTGTAAGTCTATTCAGGGGGAAAATTATACAGATTATTGATGAATTACAAATGTTTTTAACATAGTAACACTTTTAAATTACCTGGGATAACCCAAAACATTCCCTTTTGGGGGGTTTACGTTTGATACCCATTCGTGTTTAGCGCTTCTATTTTAATAAATCAAACGTAAGTTACTTTAAGAAAGATGTATTCTATTGTAAGTTCATAAATTATTCTGCTCATCCTTTTACAACTAGACAGTTACAGTTTTTATTCTATTTTATGAATTATGTAGCTTGTATCATTTTTTTTTTTAACTTCCAGTTAATATCTTGTATAGACTTAAAAAAATATTAAATTAAACTATCTAGTTCATAGAATATTATTGCAAACTTTGAGGTTTTTTTTTTTTTTTTTTTTTTGGGGGGGGGGTTATTGTAGTTAATTTATATACATGTTAAACTATATATGATAATTGTACTTATATGTACCTGTACCTAAATAAACTTACTTATTTACTTAAAGATCAGATGAATTATGTTGGGATTTTTAACCTGGAGGAGAGTTAGCCACCCAGGATAACCCTGGGATTAAATCCATGTACTTTCTGTTGTGAGCTGAATGCTCTACCATACAGCTTTGAAGTGTCTTATAGTCTAGGCCTATTGCTTCCATAGCTAACCTAATCTAGTGAGACTTGATTGTTAATTACACTGTATATGTTCAGGCAACTAACAATTGCAACATTTAATTAGGTTAAGCATAGTTGAGTTTTATCACCAACATAAATATTCACCATTAAACCACAGTGTGTCTTCCCTTTATCTGTATCCTAGATTATGCATTGAATCTTAGAAATTTTGAAAAACATATATTGTATCATGCTTTTCTTTCAGTTATTCTACTCATTTTTCAAGTCCCTAATTGGGAAGGATGTCGTGGTTGAGCTGAAAAATGATTTGAGGTAAGTGGCCCTTTCATTCTGTTGAGCATTAATGCATTTTTTCTTTAACAGACTGCAAATGAGCTTTATTAGTAAGTACCATAGTGAGATCGCTCGTGCAGCTGTTCATGATTGCTGATGGTTTTATCATAATTTTAAAACTAAGATAAATACATAAATAAAAATTAGAGAGGAGAAAGACTAAATTACATCAAGTTTGCTGGAAGGTTGACTAATCATTAGTATCTGCATCATTAATTGCAGAACATCTGCATAAAATTTCAATGCTTCCTGTAAATTTTCTTCAGTGTGGTGCCCTGAAGCTACAGTACCTTCACCTTGTGTAGATCAGTGTTGTAAACTGGGCATAAGTCTGAAATAATGTACTAAGGGTAATTACAACTTAATGCACATATACTATATATCTGATTTGATATTTTTTTGTAATTTATACTTAAATTATAAATGCTGTTATTATTATTATTATAATCAAGGGGGAAGCGCTAAACCCATAGGATTATACAGCACCCAGGGGGGGGGATGTGGAAGGCATTCAGGCTTAATTCGGGGAACTGGAGCACAAATCCAATTCCCTAAATCAAGAGCCCCTCACCAACATCAAGGAACCTTCCATGAGGGGTATAAATGCTGTATGTAATAAATTTAGTAGAATGTTTTATAGCTTACATTATTTATTTTATGTTCCTGCTTCATACCTCAGTATTCTACCAAAACAAGAGGGGAGTGAACATCGTCCTATGTCATCATTGTCTAAAGTTAAATTTAGGGATAATTAGGATTTGAATCAATGCCTCCTTCTAACCACTGGATTCGGAATGATATGTTACTGTACATTACTGAAAATTGCTGTGTACTAATGTTTATAACAAGGTGTACAAAACAAGTTAATTTAATTATAGAATTTTTTTAATAAGCACTATTTGCAAGTGGCTTATGTACAGTTCACTGGTTACTCATAATTTATACTGACTTCTCTTTTTTTCAGTATTTGTGGTACACTTCACTCGGTTGATCAGTACTTGAACATCAAGCTTACAGATATAAATGTCACTGATACAGAGAAATATCCTCATATGGTAAGGATCAGGCCTAAGCTGGTGGGAGACTTGGACCTGCCTTGCATGGGCCAGTAGGCCTGCTGCAGTGTTCCTTCTTTCTTATGTTCTTAAGTAACAAGGTATTCAGGTACTTGTTTGAAGTATCAGACTGCATAATATAGCATTAAGATTAACTAGACCTCTGATGAATTTAAAGTGTAAGAGTTATCACATTATTTATAATCAAATAACATAAGAGCTTGTACTACATTAAAAAAAATAGTCTCTCCCCACCTAACGACGGAGTTCTGTTCTTAAGACCATGTCGGTAAACGAATTCGCCGCTAAGTGAGGAACATGCTATAATGGTAATGGGTTTGTGTAACCATCTTTGATATTGTTTTAATATCACCTTTGCACCATTTATAACATTTTTAGTATATTTTTAAATGTTTATACAGTAGTGTACTGTATATTGCAATAAACAGAATAGAGGAAATCAGCTCTTATATACATTATTTAGGTCTGCATACTGGTCAGAGAGGCCGTCATAAGTCCGAGTCGTCAGTAAATGAATACACCGCTAAGTGAGGAGAGCTGTATATTGTACTATAATATAATGTACCATGCTATTTTAGCTATTCATTAAATTTAATCTTCTTATTTTTATTATATGTATGTGGTTATACCCTTTTGGAACAGGAATCCCTTAATTGGCTTGTATCCTATTGAGTTAAATGCAAAGCTATGTTCATATGGTTACCCATAAATTTGCTTGCTGTACCCAGCAGTACATAAAATGTTACCTTGCTCACACTCCATTAGGTTGTGAGGTCCCCAAAACCATTTGCCTCCACTCACTCCTAGCTAACACACTCACTCAGGCAGATTCATAAACAGTAATAATAATATTGTATTTTATGCTCTGAGTTATCCTACTTTCATATGTAATGGTCAGTGTGGTACAAAAAGCAACCAGTAATAATAATAGAGGAGAGTTTGTATTTTGTGTGTGTTAATATTCAATTATGTACTCTATGCAAATGAAGAATGCATGTACATACTGTATTTTTTTTTTTTTTTTTTTTTTTTTTTTTTTTCAACAAGTCGGCCGTCTCCCACCGAGGCAGGGTGACCCAAAAAAGAAAGAAAATCCCCAAAAAGAAAATACTTTCATCATCATTCAACACTTTCACCACACTCGCACATTATCACTGTTTTTGCAGAGGTGCTCAGAATACAACAGTCTAGAAGCATACACATATAAAGATACACAACATATCCCTCCAAACTGCCAATATCCCAAACCCCTCCTTTAAAGTGCAGGCATTGTACTTCCCATTTCCAGGACTCAAGTCCGACTATATGAAAATAACCGGTTTCCCTGAATCCCTTCACTAAATATTACCCTGCTCACACTCCAACAGATCGTCAGGTCAAAAGTACCATTCGTCTCCATTCACTCCTATCTAACACGCTCACGCACGCTTGCTGGAAGTCCAAGCCCCTTACCCACAAAACCTCCTTTACCCCCTCTCTCCAACCCTTTCGAGGACGACCCCTACCCCGCCTTCCTTCCCCTATAGATTTATATGCTTTCCATGTCATTCTACTTTGATCCATTCTCTCTAAATGACCAAACCACCTCAACAACCCCTTTCTGCCCTCTGACTAATACTTTTATTAACTCCACACCTTCTCCTAATTTCCACACTCCGAATTTTCTGCATAATATTTACACCACACATTGCCCTTAAACAGGACATCTCCACTGCCTCCAACCGTCTCCTCGCTGCTGCATTTACCACCCAAGCTTCACACCCTATAAGAGTGTTGGTACTACTATACTTTCATACATTCCCTTCTTTGCCTCCATAGATAACGTTTTTTGACTCCACATATACCTCAACGCACCACTCACCTTTTTTCCCTCATCAATTCTATGATTAACCTCATCCTTCATAAATCCATCCGCCGACACGTCAACTCCCAAGTATCTGAAAACATTCACTTCTTCCATACTCCTCCTCCCCAATTTGATATCCAATTTTTCTTTATCTAAATCATTTGATACCCTCATCACCTTACTCTTTTCTATGTTCACTTTCAACTTTCTACCTTTACATTGAAGCATATATGTGAACAGTATTTAGATAAAGGTAGGGAAGTTTTTATTGCATTTATGGATTTAGAAAAGGCATATGATAGAGTGGATAGAGGAGCAATGTGGCAGATGTTGCAAGTATATGGAATAGGTGGTAAGTTACTAAATGCTGTAAAGAGCTTTTATGAGGATAGTGAGGCTCAGGTTAGGGTGTGTAGAAGAGAGGGAGAATACTTCCCTGTAAAAGTAGGTCTTAGACAGGGATGTGTAATGTCACCATGGTTGTTTAATATATTTATAGATGGGGTTGTAAAAGAAGTAAATGCTAGGGTGTTCGGGAGAGGGATGGGATTAAATTATGGGGAATCAAATTTAAAATGGGAATTGACACAGTTACTTTTTGCTGATGATACTGTGCTTATGGGAGATTCTAAAGAAAAATTGCAAAGGTTAGTGGATGAGTTTGAGAATGTGTGTAAAGGTAGAAAGTTTACTAAATTAAAGAATAAAAATGCACAGTACCATGCCTTTTAATAACCTACACATAGAAGAAAGAAATGTGACGATGTTTCAGTCTGACTTAGACCATTAACCGATCAGACAGTAATGTCATCATAAATTTCTTTCTCCTGTGTGCTGGTTATTTGTGTACTTACCAAATTACATACCTGCTACAGTATTTAAAGAAAAACAATTGTATTATTTCAGACATTAACTTCACAAAACCTTGTGTGTAACATGATTTATTTTTACTTTTCAGTTATCTGTAAAAAACTGCTTTATTCGTGGTTCTGTGGTTCGGTATGTGCAGTTGCCGGTAGATGAAGTAGACACTCAGCTACTCCAGGATGCAGCCAGAAGAGAGGCACAACAGCAGCGACAGTAGTTTACAGATTAAGTGCATTTCATTTTAATGCAGTTTAAAGGTGCATCGGCACCTTGATGCAGATAAATTAGGTTCTTTTCAATTCTGTTAGAGATTTATTTTTTTTATATACATGACCTGTAAATTCTGAAAATATTGTGGTTTGTCTCCAGAAGGGAGAGTAAAATTACTCCAATATTAATTTATTGGTTTTGTTTCATCACACTCGGTGCAAATTTTTTTTTTTATGACTTTCTTGCAAATTAAGTAAGTGTTGACACAGTATACTGTACTGTGTCTTTCCAATAACCACGTGAGTGATTAACTTCAGATTTTGTGTTAGTGACTTAATTCAGTGATTGTATCCATATGATAATGTTGTGCGATGTACCAAAACCTAGTCTAGTTTTTCAGTTCTGTTTTGTGGGATTGTGGCCATTGATTTATGTTATATTACTATTCACCCTCTGATTAGCATTCAGCATTTATTTAAATCATAACTGATGCTTAAAGATGAGTGAGAGATCATTTATTATAGTGCAGTAAAATATGGTATAGTATTATTAGTCAAGACATGTTGTTTCAGTTGAAGGTATGGTGTTAAGATATTTCTTAACCCAAAATTAACTGTTTCAAGTGTTACATATAATTTCTGTAAATGCCAGTGAATAATATTAGATGTCAGTGAATAACACTGAGTTATAATAAAATAGTTAATACTTTTGTAGCACAGTATTTAATAATAAATTTTTATAGCCTCAGTAGGGTACACTTTTATAATGTACAGATAAAATTTCCAATACAGATTAAAAAAATGATAAATGTGTGTTCTTTATCCTGGCACCATGTTATAGAATTTTCAAGCAGGCATCCTGACAATTTTGTTTTAATTTTTTTTGTAAATTTAAAGAAAGTTTGATGGAGTATCAAGAAGCCTGTGTAAAGAAAGGTGTACATTAATGGATGTTTTGATGCTGGTGAAGGGCTCTTGATCTAAGATATTGAAGGTACCTTCTTCATAGGATCAAACTTGATTACTGTATAGTACCTCTTATTTGAAGATAGGTAAAACAAAAGATCATTTACAACACTGTCACAGATCTCTTAAAAGTATTCTGGCGGAGTGTTAGAGAACATGGTAAAATCCCTTGAGCCCATCACTGATGCCAATGATGGGCTCTTATTTCAGGGAATATGATTTGTCTTCCCCTTTCTTGGATCAGACCTGATTTCATCCCATTCCTAGATGCTATATGACTGGGTTTAGCGCTGCCCCACAATACTAATAACAAAATTAAATGAGTTAAAGCACAAACAGTAAATGAGAATGGAGAAGCAGATGATGAGTGAAGGAGAGTAGTTAAACATCTCATTAAAAAGGAAGTTTTTCAATTTAGTTTGATATACCTGTCATGAAGAATAGTGTATACATATGCTTTAGCATTACAGGAGGGTCCTGCTTATACAGCAGATAAGGTTCTGGACTACTGTTGTAAAGCAAAAAATGTAAAGTGAAACATAGACTTTTTTCACTTTCAAATGCATATAAAAGCCTAATAACATGTTTACACTATCATATATTAAGTGAGTAATAGAACTAGGCCTCAAAATGCACACATTGCTTTCCTTAAAATATTTTTGTCCTTAGCATATAATAAATGGTGAATATATTTATTGTAGGAAATATGAACAAATGTAGAATGAGTATAATTGAAAACCACTGCATTAGCGAAATGCTGTAAGGCGAGCCTCTAAAGCCGAGCCTTCCAGTATTAGTATTTTTTGTAATACTTTATTTATTAGTTTTTTAATTTAGTTTGTCTTGTTAAGCTTTATACATTCCTCAATCATACACCACTTTAAAAGATGAGGTTGTTAAATTGGATGATTAATCTTTTTCGTTCAACAAACCAGCTGTATCCCACCAAGGCAGGGTGGCCCAAAAACAAAAACAAAAGTTTTTCTTATTAACTTTAGTAATGTATACAGGAGAAGGGGTTACTAGCCCCTTGCTCCTGGCATTTTAGTTGCCTCTTATGACACACATGGCTTATGGAGGAAGGATTCTGTTCCACTTCCCCATGAAGATAAGAGGAAATTAACAAGAACTAGTAAGAAAATAGAAGAAAACCCAGAGGGGTTTGTATATACTTTATGCTTGTACATGCATGTGTAGTGTGACCTAAGTATAAGTAGAAGTAGCAAGACGTACCTGATTATTATTATAATCAAGGGGGAAGCGCTAAACCCGGAGGATTATACAGCGCCTGGGGGGGGATGTGGAAGGCATTCAGGCTTAATTCGGGGAACTGGAGCACAGATCCAATTCCCTAAATCAAGAGCCCCTCACCAACATAAGACGTACCTGAAATCTTGCATATTTATGAGACAAAAAAAGACACCAGCACTCCTACCATCAAGGAAAACAATTACAGGCTTTTGTTTTACACTCGCTTGGCAGGATGGTAGTATCTTCCTGGGCGGTTGCTGTATAGCCCTTGTGGCTTAGCGCTTCTTTTTGATTATAATAATAATAATCCCTGGGCGGTTGCCGTCTACCAACCTACTACCTAGATGATTAATCTACATTATTAAATCAGATCAACCTTAATTTCTGTGTAACCATCTATTGCTTCTTTATGCAAAACAAACTCAGTTGTGTTCAAATATGATTACTTTTATGCTTAGCAGCCATATGTTTTATACTTTGTAAATGTACAATACTGTGCTTTTTGTATAGCTTTTGAAAAGTAATGATTAAACTTGTAATTAATATGAGGTACTGTACACTTACAATACCAATAATATCCAAGATGTAGCTTGAGGAAATGCTTCTCATATGCATGTCAAAAAAATAAAAAAGAGAAAAGTAATGGTAGCGGTTGGCCTTGATGCAGGGAGACGGACCCAAACACTACACAGTCACATCTGGGGGATTCATAAAAAGTCGGAAATTCCCTTAATCCAAAAATGTCGTCTGAAGTAGTCCCAGAGAGACTAATTAATTACTGAATTTTAATGTCCATTTGGTTGGTGTGTCGAAGGTACAAAACCAGTTAATATCCTGTTTGAGTCAACAGGAATGTAGGTAACTGACTACCATCACTTGTTAATGTTTTCCTGCGCTGTATGACCCATAAGGTTTAATGTTTGTTTTTGAATATACATAATAAAATAATAATAATAATAATAATAATAGTAATAATAATAATAATAGTGTGTAAAGGTAGAAAGTTGAAAGTGAACATAGAAAAGAGTAAGGTGATGAGAGTATCAAATGATTTAGATAAAGAAAAATTGGATATCAAATTGGGAAGGAGGAGTATGGAAGAAGTGAATGTTTTCAGATATTTGGGAGTTGACATGTCAGTGGATGGATTTATGAAGGATGAGGTTAATCATAGAATTGATGAAGAAAAAAAAGTGAGTAGTGCATTGAGGTATATGTGGAGGCAAAAAATGTTATCTATGGAGGCAAAGAAGGGAATGTATGAAAGTATAGTAGTACCAACACTCTTTATATGGGTGTGAAGCTTGGGTTGTAAATGCTGCAGCAAGGAGGCGGTTCGAGGCAATGGAGATGTCCTGTCTAAGAGCAATGTGTGGTGTAAATATGCAGAAAATTTGGAGTGTGGAAATTAGGAGAAGGTGTGGAGTTAATAAAAGTATTAGTCAGAGGGCTGAAGAGGGATTGTTGAGGTGGTTTGGTCATTTAGAGAGAATGGATTAAAGTAGAATGACATGGAGAGCGTATAAATCTGTAGGGGAAGGAAGGCGGGGTAGGGGTCATCCTCGAAAAGGTTGGAGGGAGGGGGTAAAGGAGGTGTTGTGGGCGAGGAGCTTGGACTTCCAGCAAGCGTGCATGAGCGTGCTAGATAGGAGTGAATGGAGACAATGGTATTTGGGACATGACGATCTGTCGGAGTGTGAGCAGGGTAATATTTAGTGAAGGGATTCAGGGAAACCGGTTATTTTATATAACCGGACTTGAGTCCTGGAAATGGGAAGTACAATGCCTGCACTCTAAAAGAGGGGTTTGGGATATTGGCAGTTTGGAGAGATATATTGTGTATTTTTATACATATATACTTCTAAGCTGCTGTATTCTGGGGACCTCTGCAAAAACAGTGATTATGTGTGAGTGAGGTGAAAGTGTTGAATGATGATGAAAGTATTTTCTTTTTGGGGATTTTCTTTCTCTTTGGGTCACCCTGCCTCGGTGGGAGATGGCCGACTTGTTGAAAAAAAAAATAGTAATATTATTATTGCCCCACTTAGCTGGACTTGAGTCCCAGAGGTGGAAAGTACAGTGCCTGCACTCTGAAGAAGGATGGGATGTTGGGGCTTGGAGGGTCATCTGATCTGTGATGTTGGCACCCTTCTGGTAAGGGAGCGACTGGATGAACGACAGTGAAAGTGTTTTCTTCTTTGTTGGGTTACCCTACCTTGGTGGGAGATGGTCGGAGTGTTAAAATACCTCTCAAGGGGTCCTTGATGCAAGTGAGAGGTTCTTGATCCGAGAAACTAGGCCTGTCCTCTTTCTTGTATCAAACCTAATTGCTTCCCATTCCCCAAGTGCTGTATTACACTTATGGGTTTAGTATATAATAATCTTGACCCAAGAAATTGGAGACACTCTCCCCTTCCTTGGATTAAACTTGATTACTTCCCATTTCTATGAACATATATTTTAATATACAGACAATAGTGTATGAAACTAATAATCTTATGTGATGGTGAGAAAGATGTAATTCAATGAACAAGAGTTGTTCCTTCAAGGTATGTACGTACTTTCCTTGATGCTGGTGAGGGGCTCACAGCGCTGTATAACCCCTGTGGGCTTAACGCTTAGTTTTGATCATAATGATAATGGTGAGGGGCTCTTGATCCAAGAAACTGAACTAAACCTTCCCTTCATTGTATGGAACCCAACTGTTTCCCATCCCTTTGGTGCAGTATGACTCCTATAGGGTACATAATAATAACAGTTGGGATTTTGTTATTCTTGAGCACATGTTCTTTCAAGATATTCACCAGCACTTGCACACCAAGCCATAATAATGATGATATGCTGTTGAGGTTGTCTGGTTATGTTGAAAGGATGAAGAGGTTAATTCAGAGATTATAGTACAGTAGTAACAGCCTGGTTGACCAGGCTATTGCTACTGTACTAGCCTCAAGGATGCCTCAAGGGAGGATCCTTGAGGCTGGTGAGGGGTTCTTGTTCTGAGGAATTGGACTTGTTCTTCCCTTCCTTAGACTAAACTAAACTGCCTTCCATTGCCCATGTGCTGTGTGACAACCACATTATTATTATAATCAAGGGGAAGCGCTAAACCCGGAGGATTATACAGCGCCTGGGGGGGGGATGTGGAAGGCATTCAGGCTTAATTCGGGGAACTGGAGCACAGATCCAATTCCCTAAATCAAGAGCCCCTCACCAACATCAAGGAACCTTCCTTGAGGGGTGTGACAACCACAGGTTTAGCACGTCCCCTAAATATAATATTAATAATATAATACTGTAGTAATATTTGTAGGTAGTAGGTTGGTAAAGAGCAACCACCCAGGGAGGTACTACCGTCCTGCCAAGTGAATGTAAAACAGAAGAGTGTAATTGTTTTACATGATGGTAGGATTGCTGGTGTCTTTTTTTTTGTCTTATAAACATGCAAGATTTCAGGTACGTCTTGTTACTTCTACTTACACTTAGGTCACACTACACATGCATAGACAAGCATATATATACACACCTCTTTGGGTTCCTTTTTTTTAATGGTTCTTGTTCTTGTTTATTTTTTTCTTATCTCCATGGGAAAGTG